ATAGATAGATAGATAGATAGATAGATAGATAGATAGATAGATAGATAGATAGATAGATAGATAGATAGATAGATAGATGACATAGAGATATAATATTCATTTCTATACATAAAAGAAAGCATATGATAGTTTGGAAAGATGAACAGAATGTTAAATAGCTACTAAATTAAAACCATACATAATTGTGAAAAATATTATGAATGCAAGAATATAATATGGGTATTGCTGCCATTTAAAAGGGGTCTGGAGTCTGATTCAAATCACTGATTTAGAAGCTTATTATACAGATCTTGAAAACAGCTATGCATTTGTTCTAGAGAATCTGTGGTAAAGCCACATACATTCAGGAGGACTAAACATTAACCAATTGGTCATCATTAGAAAACAATCTTCTCCATAAAAAATTTCTTCTTCAACAAACATTTTAGAAAATCTACTAATTAAAATGACACTACTTCCTTCATGTTTACTTACATGGAGTTATCCAATCTTTCTGTAAAAACTAGATTTTTGGGTAAAAATATGAGTCTCTTCAAAAAAGCAAGAAATTCCAGTTCCCATCTTTTTAAAACTTCCTACCTTGATTATTCTTAGCTGGAACCCTAACCTTTTACCATTACATGATACAAAGGAGACTCCACTATTATTAATATTTTAAAAAGTAAAAATATTATGTCACATCCGTCCATGTCCTACTTAGGTTCTACTGATGTATAAAATGGGAAAAGGTGGGGAAGGTGGGGAAGAAGGAGATTGAAACAAAAATAACTTTCAGGGAATCATATTGGGAAAAGGCAGAGAAGTCTACTAAGATATTGACCTTTATACTCAAAGAAATTAAAGAATATATTATATTTGTTTAGAAAATATATACAGATTTCAGATCTATTAATCAACAATTTTATTCCAAGTTTATAGATCCAATTGCTTTCGTCAATACTATTTGAGGTTTATTTTTATTTGGCTATATTCCTAGACCTTAAACGAGATCAAAGCATCAAGCATCATACTCCATTTGCAACAATGGAATACAGTACTGATACATGCCATCTGCCACCATTTGAATTAAGATTTTTTTCCACAAAGGAGATTTTTGAGAAAACAAATCATAATCTTCAGAGCAGTAAATAATAGGTTTTCTAGATACCTGTTTCCCCTTTTTCTCTTTCATTTTTAATCATGACCGCCATTGATTTTATACAAATACATGCTATATTATACTTCGTCGCATTTATTAATTTGGGTGAGAGTGGTTAATATTTAATCTCTGAATTTCTCCCCAAAAATATGTACTTCCAGTGATATAGTAGAAATTTTTAAGAGTGGAAAATCTTGTATATATTTTTTTCTTCTCAGGCCTTATGCCACTTCTCAGGTAAGGCCAAAGAAAGAATTGGGCACAATTACTCTATTGTTGTTCAACAGTTATCTGAGCATTGAAGAGTAATCCTATATTAGATGTACTACACATAATCAATGTTATCGAATATAAATCCAGTGTTATCCCATTTAAATAAATGATAATTAGTACTGTAATTCTAACATCATTAAACAAGAATAGTTGTGAATCTCAATGTTTTATTGTTGGTATCCCTAAGTTCAAGATGACTCACCTTGTAATGAAGACAAGGTGTATTCAGTAGTTGGTGTGGCTAGAGAGAGAAAAAGAAATGCAAATTTAATTGTATTTAAAATGTTTCTTTACAAGGTTTCAACAGAACATCTGAAGGCTATACAGGCAAGATGTTAAAAAAAATCTATTTGATCCCATCTAGAAAGAAAGGCCCTATTGTAAATTAGTGGACAATACATTTTACACTATAAAAAGTTCCAGAAGCATATATGTGAAAGTCGACTGGGTGACTTTGGGCCAGCCATTCTCTTTCAGCCTAACCCACCTCACAGGGTGGCTGTTGTGGGAAAACAGGAGGAAGAAGGTCTGTTGGAAATGTTCACCACCTTGAGAAATTTGTAAAAATAAAAACAGGATAGAAATAAATGAATAAAGTATTGTTTAAAACACTCATGGAAGCCTTTGTAAACAAAGGAGTATTAGAGTCTCACACACCAAATTTCCTCCAATATATACTTTAAAAACAAACCAAGAGGAATAGATTGGGCTGGCCTAAAATCATCCATTGAGTTTGTCTACGGAAATTCTCAATCATCCAGGTCATGGTTGTCCCAAAGTTGTTTTTTCAAGAGGCAACTGGACTTTCTGCTTTTTCTTTGAAGACATTTCACTTCTCATCCAAGTAGCTTCGAAGGATTTATACATCCACAAATCCACAAATAGATATCACCAAAAATGCTTCCATTCCCCACCATCCAGTCAGAGCTGAAGAAGCTTATTGGATGAGAAGCAAAACATCTTCAAGCAAAAATCAGAAAGTCCAATTGACTCTTAAAAAAACACCTTTGGGACCATTTACTGAGGTTTTTTGGCTGAGGATGAAGTTGAATCTTGTTTCTCCTAAGTCCTATTCCAATACTATAACCATTACACTATATTGAGATATTCCTATTTTATGGCTTATCTGACACCATTTGCACTGGTTTCCCATGCCATTTATGGTCAGCTGTCTCGGGGAAGGGATTGTACCTGAAAGCTGAAAAGGGGGAAACAGAATGAACTTTGAACATGTGAGTCAGAAAAATTGTCTGATTTGGATTCCAAAATTAGGAAATAAAATATTAGAAAGTTACTTTATCTAGCATTTTATGAGATAATCTAGCAATATAAATGGAAAATGAATGTATATTATTATATCACTATATCTATCTATCTATCTATCTATCTATCTATCTATCTATCTATCTATCTATCTATC